TTCTCTCTTTTTGTTGAAAAGCAGTTTTATTGTTTCCACAGCTTGATGTTTCATTGATCTTTGCGGACTGGATGGGACCACACAGAGGACGACATGAGAAGCATCGGTGGCAAGCACCCGTCCGATGGGAGTGCAGGACCTTTGGTCATCGTGTACCTTGCCGTAGGTGCCACGGTCCTGCTGGAGAACGCCTTCTCGCTGACACCGGGACAGGTGCTGATTGAGGTGGAACAAGAAAGTTTCAGCATCTCTTGGGCGAGAAATAACAAAGCAAACAGAACACAAGCGCATTTCACATGTCCAGCCCAAAAGCAATGAGTGACTGCAAGATCTACATGTGTAAACAATGTGCACGCAATGGATTTGATGTCCCTCTCGTATCAACAGGATGCTGGCTGATGATAGAGGCCGAGGTGCCTCTGTGTGTGACTAACTGTACATGCTAAACCAGATGAAAGAAAAAAAAAAGGAAGAACGAAGTTTGATTTTTACTGCCAATTAAGGAGAAGGAGGAGACGTGCTTCGTTGGCAGTTACTCAAGAAGGGTTCTGGATACCATCAGTTGTCATGACTCAAGAAGAAACGGTCAAAATACTGATAAAAGAAATAAACTTGCAGCCAAAGGTGGGGGAGCACAGAAAAAAGTGCTCTCCAACATAATTGAAGCTTTGAACTTGTTTTCCTGTGTACCTTGCAGTTTTTTTTTGTACAGCTGCAGGAGGAGCCCTGCCAGAGGGTGGTGTCACTACATCGAATCATCATAAGTGGAGGAGAGTACAAAATGTAATGAAGGCAACCACAGTTATGCAAATATCACATTTTGCCTTTAATAACTGTCTGATAAAAGAGTGATATGTATGTTGAAACTAATCATGTTAACCCATGTTTAACCAGAGACAAGGTATTGTGTGATTAGACTCATGAACTAGGTTAGAGCAACAATAAAAAGTACCTAAGGTGCCTTTCTCTGGATGTGTGTGTGGTGTACATCTGTGAACTCGGAACAACTAGACTTATCGTTTGACTAATTATAGTTCCTTACTCCATGGCGAGTCTCTCTGGATCATTTAAAATGCGCATTGAATGAGTCCATAGAGTTGACTGAAATGATCAAGTCTCATAAGTCTAAACGTGTCTGACCTAACAGTGTCCACCTGCATGGCTCAAAGAAAGGTTTTTACATATGGCTAAAACTAATAGTATAGGCGTCGGCTCACCATTGGTGGGATATATTCACAGGAATATTATCTACGGCGCAAAATATATGCAGTATCCCTTTTGTTTGTTTAGTGAAGAGAAGAATAACTAGTTTGATCTATGTATCTCTGTATTAACTTTGTGTATTTTGGGAACTTGTTTAGGGTTTTAAAAAAAAAGAATTAATCAGGAAATTTATAATACAGCTGGTACATGGTTTGGTGAAAAAAAAAAAACTATAATCTGAACACCTACCAGGTGTTTTGATTTACAATGATCGTGTCAGTGGGAATGTAATAAATCAAAACGTTCCAGGGGTTTGAAACTAGTCAAAACTAAAAAGTTGTATTGTGGAATTATGTTTTACATGCCATAAAGGCAAAAAGGGTGGAATGATATGAAAATATGTTTTATAAGGTGTGAAGTTGCCTTTATGCCGATTCAAACATATATATTTTGTGTGTGTTACTTATTCAGAATTAAATGTCTAAAATTGCCATAAAAGCAAGGGTGGAATGATATAGAAATTATTATTTTAATGCTTTTATGTCAATCTAGACCTATATTACACTTATTTAAACACACTTATACAACGTGTTATTCACATATTAGGGATTGTATTTTGTATTATGTGTTCAAACATATACTTTGTGTGTGTGTGTTGCTTATAATATTTAGACACTCTTTGATGGTTTGCAGAAGGGACGAGGAGTGCTCTTTAGGAATGCTTTAATAAGCATTAGGAGTGCTCTTGACCTGGAAGCTTTGGCCCGCTTTTACGGTCACAGGCGCTCCTTAAAGGATGAGCCATCGCTTTTGATGATGGTTTAATTAGATCCGTTGTTCTGGTAACCATCAAACTTGCTTTGATCTGCTCTCACGCGATCAGGGAAGCCTTTATAAGAAATGTATCAGACAACAGAGAGTTGGAAGTCCGGTGTGGATCAGTACGCGCTGATGCCATATGCCATTTTGATGTGATTCTCCTTTACCTGGGTCGAAAACGACTTCCCGGCCAGTGTCACGGTGAGAAGTTCTTTCATATCAATCTGTGTTAAGAGTGTACGAGTGTACATGTTTGTTTTTTGCTCGGTTGTTCTCTGTGGCAGGATAATAAAGGACACTAATTTATCCTAGCAGTGACAGCTTTTGTCTTTTATTTTTTCCTTCTGGTCTGAATATCTGTGCCGACCGTTTCACGAGCCCTTTTGATAAAGAATTTCATAATACAAACAAAGATTCAATTCTGCTTTACAATCCATAAAAAAGAGTTACAGCATTTAGATTTTTATGTGATGGTTAAAAATAATTCAACTTAAGCAATAAAATATTTTAAAAAGAATAATTAAATGGCTTCTTTATTTAATGTTCTTTTTTCCTGTATTTGTATCACTCATAAAATGAGTACGGTAGTTAATGCAGAACCTGACAAATACTGTTTTTGATTAATCGATTAATCGTCAGCATCATCTATAGATTACTTAATTACTAAAATATTTGTTTACAACTGATATATCGATATTGGAATTATATTATCGAGCAAAATTAAAGAAATATATCGTGATAAGTTTTGGCCATATCGTCCAGCCCTAGGCGTCTCTGAGTAGGGCACCCAATCCCCAATTGCTCCCCAGGCACTTTCAGCAGCTGCCCACTGCTCCACCTGGAGTACATGGGTTAAATGCAGACAGCCAGTTTTGCCATTTAATGAGAACATACAATGATGACAACACAAAACACATTATTATTATTATTCAGTTGATCTAGTGTGGACTGTTGAAACTAAAGAAACTTGAAAAAGTTTTTATTGAACATATTGCCAGGTGAAGGTTAAGTGAAATTCCTACCATAGCTTTTTTTATGCTAATTTTTTTAGCATAAATACTCACCGGCAGATATCTCTTGGTTCAACAGCTTCACGTGCAAGTTGAACATTTGCTCCTGACCTTTACTTTGCAGCAGCTTCAGCTTCTCTCGTCGACTCACCATGTAACACAAGTTCCTTACCTGTACAAACAAATATTTGAGAGAAAAATTCATGAAGTCCCTTCAGAGTATCTGCAGTGCCGACACCAAAAATCCTAGCAAGCACCATATGTCCCACCGCGCTCTCTGAGGTCAGCAGACCAGATGCTTCTCTCAGTTCCAGAAACCCGTCGTAAGCTCAGAGGTGACAGGGCTTTCTCTGTTGCAGGTCCACGACTGTGGAATGAGTTGCCACTGAGTGTCCGGCAGGCTCCCACACTCTCAGTCTTTAAGTCTCGCTTGAAGACCCACTTCTATTCGCTTGCCTTTAACACGGTGTGATTTGTTTTGGTCCGGTCTGTTCTCTACTCTGTTGGCCATTTTAGTTAGCTTCTGCTGCTATTTGTATCTGTATTTCTATTTTATGTTTTCCTGTCTGCTGTGCATGTTTGTTTCTTTTGTACAGCACTTTGGTTGGCCTTGTTGCTGTTTTAAGTGCTCTATAAATAAATTGGTATGGTATGGTATGGTATGTCCATGTCCTGGTCACACAAGGATTTGAACAGTGAAGGTTTTTAAGATGTTCAAGTAGGTCGGAGTTACACACTGTACTGTATATTTAAGCTATATAAAAAGTAGAAAGCATAGTTTCCTTGGACATAAGGGTGATCAGTTTAAATACAGACACCTAAACAAATTAGAATATTGTGACCATTACTTTGGAGTCATTTCTGAAATTTAAACTCATTTATTACACAGAGTGAAAGATCTCCAGCCTTTATTTTGTGCAGTTTTGATGATTATGGCTTACGGATTATGGAAAAACAAAACAAAATTCAGTATCTTGGAAAATGAGAAGATTGTGAAGAGTTTCAATATTGTAAACTCAAGGTGTGGCACCCAGCACACACACGTTTGGCCCCGCCTCCCTCAGGCAGGAGGTTAGGGAGCAGTAAGGCTCCAGTATACTCTCGCTGACCTTGTTCCGCACGAACTCGACACGCACCGTCTGCAGAGGGTTGACACTTCATGCTCGAGCGTCCACCCTGAGCGGCTGCAGAGCAGCTCCGCAGGCAAAGGGTGTTGACCTTCGGGACAAACTGAGGTTGCCGATTGGTCATTTGCTGATACGTCTACTGGATTGATTGACAGATGGCAAAAATATATATATTTAAAAAAGAGAGCTGGCAGCTCCAGACGCAGCGGTGTTCTGTTTTTATATGTTGTTAATAAAAAGTTCTAAAAAATAAAAAAACAAGGAGCGCTGGCCCTGCAACCCACACATCAGACCAACCCACCAGGAAATCTCCAGATGCTCCTGCAGCCATGCTGGACATGATTTTAAGTCGCTCGTGACAAATTCCTTAATTTCTCACCATTTCAGTCATGGCATCAACGGAGGAGGAAGAGATCACTGCCTCTTGACAAAAAACCAAAAGAAAACGCCAGATCAGGGATGAAGAAGGGGAATTTAATACATTGGTGTCGCATACAAAACAGTCAGGCAGTTTATTGTGCGACAGAGTACGTGGTTGTAAAAATTGAGCTTTGCATGGACATGCCCTGCGGGCGTCCGCTTCGACTCTAATCCAGTACGTGCAGACCTCTGCGGACAGACGTACACCTGAGTATACTGGAGGCATTAAGTGTAGAACCACTACTGAGGAATCCAAAAAAGTTCAATCTGGTCCTCTGGACATTCAAAAAAACAAAAAACAAAACAAAGCAAAAAAAATTGCTTTTAATTAGATTAGATTATTGAGCATGCATCAGGACACTACTGAGGAACAGCTTCTACCTTGAGGCTGTTACACTCATGAATCTCTAACCAGAATAATCACTGTGAAAAATCACATCATGTTGCTGCTGATCCGTTTCATGCTGCTGCTGATCTGTTTCATGCTGCTGCTGATCTGTTTCATGTTGCTGCTGATCCGTTTCATGCTGCTGCTGATCTGTTTCATGTTGCTGTGTTCATTCGTCTGCTCACACAGACTCCTGTGCGTGCTGCTGTTCAGCGTATTATTTTTATACTATGTGCTGAGTGTATATTTAGCTGATGTTGTTCTTAGTTCATATCTTAGATCTTATTACTGTTTTTATTTTACATTTTATACTTTTGTTGGATGTAACTGGAACCCTGTTTAAACAATTTTGTTCCACCATATGTACCACATGTGGTGGAACGACAAATAAAGAACCTTGAATCCTTAATCAGTCAAGTCAAGTCCAGTGTGAAGTTTCCAGTCATTGATGGTTTGGTCTATGTCATCTGCTGGTTCTGGTCCACTGGGTTTTCTGAAGTCCACAGTCCAAGCAGCATCTAGCAGGACATTTTAGAGACTTCATGCTTCCTTCTTTACAAGCTTTATGGAGATGCTGGCTTCATTTTCCAGCAGGACTCGGTACCGACCTACACTGACAAATGTCCCAGTAGATGGCTGAGGAATATTCTCGTTTTCTGAGACACTGAGTTTTGTTTTTTCATTATTTGTAAGCCATAAATAAAGGCTGTGAATATATGTATGAGTTTCACTTTCTGAAATGATTGACAAAAAAGTTTTTCACACCATCTAATTTTTTGAGATGCACCTGTATATTAAGTTGCATCTCAAATACATATGAAGGAAGCTGCCCAGCTGCAATACTGGAAGGATTTGAGTAGGGTGCTGAGAACAGCAGAAGATCATTAAGACACCCCTCCCATTAACTGATCTCAGACACTGTCTGACCAGTAGGGATGAGTACTGAACTTCACCAAATGAACTGCTTCAGTCGGTGTATGGATCAAAATATGCCTCGTCTTTCGGTGTCAAGTCTTTGTGATTGGCTGTAACTTTACAGGTGTTTTCAACCACCTGTAAAGTTACAGCCAATACCAGTGCTGCAACTTGCAGCACACAGGAACAACACAGACATGGTTCATGTGGTTTATAATGCAAGCCATAATATGTAACGTCTGACTGAGATAATTCTGGGAATGAGGGAATTTAAGAGCGTAAATTTGCTCCATGTTTTTCTGCAAGGAGAGAGGAGCGCAGCCTCCCCCTCCTCTCTCAGCATTAAAGTCAGCCTGTGAGTGTTCGAGAGAATGAACAGCCTGATTCAACCTTCCACAGCCGGACTCCTCTTCATTAAAGAACTCTGAGGATGGAGCTGTGTGTGGGTTTCAGCTGGTAAGTTTACGTTTGTTAACGTTACTGCAGCTTAATACGTGCATCGCTGAGAGTTAAACTAGGATCCATGTAACGCTAACTTTAAGATATTAGTGTGTAGCTTTATTTTATATATGTAGCTATCTAAACTCAGAAGCTAACTAAAGATTGACAGTAACATAAATCTTAGCTTGTAAAACTGTGCTCATCCATCAGGTCAGCAGGTTAAACAGTTCACTAATGTTCACTGTTTATGTTCATGTTCTCCTCACAGGAGGTTCTGACCCAGATGTCAGGACAAAAGAAAAGTGAGGTGGGGGCCACAGGACAGTCAGACTTTGTTGTTAAAAGTTTGCTGCTTTTTCTACAGTGGAGGCTGCATGGTGGAGGTAAGTTAAACTTTAAAGGATGTTGTTGACCAGTTAAACTTTTATCTCTCAGCCTAGATTATGTTTTTCGAGTAATAACAACACAACATGTTATTGTTGATGTTTTGTTCTCATGTCAGTTAGGGAGATGATCAGAGCCCTGAACCCCAGAGAATCACAGAGAAGATTCAGGAAGAGACACAGAGGTGCAGATGTCTGCATCATCCCTACCTCAGTGAATCCAGTGACCTGCTGGTGGGATGTGAGGGACAACATGTCAAACTGACAACCAGGTATCTGTGTGTGCAACAATCATCATCTACAGCCTCAGAGTGAACATGTTCTACTGCTGGAGACACCATCAGTCAGGAGCAGCTGGTTTGTGTCCAGAGAAAACAGACATGTTGATGTTTTCGAAGAAAAACTGTTCAGTGAAAAGGTCCTCAGTGTGTAGCAGTGACCATTAGACACTGGCGTGTCACTGGTTTGTAACTGGTCTTTTGACCTGGAAATTATTTGTTTATTTTTATGTAAGAAAACTGCTTGGAATAGAAAAATACCAAAGTTAAAAAATAAAACTCACAATTTGTACTGCAATGTGTAACGTAATTTTCTTTCTTTTTGTTGGAATTATTATTAATTACAAAATTGGTACAGAAAAAAGAACCATCCAGGAACCGACACCGAAGTGAAAGTACAGACACTGGTACAGATTTTTTTTAGAAAGGTACCCAGCCCTAACCAAATATGAATCAATATGTTAAGACTGTGAAGTCTGTATATTTCATATTAGGTTAAGTTTTGAAAATATAACAAATGTTAGTGCAATATGATTTAAAAAAAAACTGTGAAGTCTGTATTTTATGTTGAGTTAAAGGTTAACGCACTTTTGTATTTATATACTGTATTTTGAATTATGTCTGTGATGGACTGGAGACTTGTCCAGGTGTCCTCCACCTCTCACAGTGATGGCTGAATATGGGCACCAGTGACACCCGTGACACGTAAAGTTAGAAGTGGGTAAAGATGATGGATGGATGAAATATTTGCTCCTAGTTTTTTTTTTTTTTTTGTTTGTTTGTTTTAAAGAAAAATCCAGACCTAAGCTAACCTAATACTGGTAATTTCAGTTACAGAATGTTATGCACACCTACCAGTATATTTGTTCCTATCTTTGGTATAAATATAGAACGATGCAAAAAGATTTGATACAGTAAGGAACCGAAAATTGTTTTATATAAATGTTCTATTTGTTTACATTGTTGTTTATTCTGACGCATGCTCAATAATCCAGGTAGAAAAATCTAAAAAAGTTAAATCTGGTCCTCTGGACATTCAAAAAAACAAAACAAAGCAAAACAACAAAAAAATATAGAAACGTTTCGTCTCTCATCCGAGAGACTTCCTCAGTCTGAGGTGCTGTATTCAGCTCAGTCTCTTAAATAGCACCTTCTCAGAGTGGATCAACCAGTTTGCTGCTGACAACCAAAACCAGCTGATCACATGCTCAAGAAGGACCATCAGCCTAACAATGGATCATTAGCACCTGATGGCTGTTTACTATTCACAGAGGGCTGAGTGATACTAGCAATCACAGCATTGTAAGAGGGGGACAGTTGAACCCGGAGGCTCCACCCCTGTTTAATGATGGACGATTTCTTTTCACAAAGATGGCCTCCTTTACTCCTCTCTCAAACCATCGTTCCTCTCTGTCCAGGATGTGAACATCTTCATCCCTGAAAGAGTGACCGCTGGCCTGGAGATGAGTGTAGACCTCAGAGTCCTGGCCTGATGATGTTGATCTTCTGTGCTGGTCCATCCTTTTGGCCAGTGGCTGTTTAGTTTTCCCGATGTAAGACTGATCACCCTCCTGACATTGAACAGCATACACAACATTACTCTGTTTGTGCCGGGGGACTGGATCTTTGGGATGAACCAGTCTTTAATGTATTTTGGGGTTTAAAAGCCACTGGGACGTTATGTTTAGAAAATAAACGTCTCAGTTTCTCTGATACTCCCACAACATATGGAATGACCACTGGTCTGGGTCTGGGTTCCTCCTTTTCACCTGTTGGCTGACTGGAGTCCTGTTTGGGTTTCTTCTCTGCTTTCAGGAAGGCCCAGTTAGGATATCCACATTGCTCTAGAGCCTGTCTTGTGTGGGATTTCTCCTTCTGCCTGGCTCCAGAGTTAGTGGGGATGCTGTCTGCTCTGTGGTACAGAGTCCTGATGACTCCTAACTTGTGCTCCAAAGGGTGATGGGAGTCAAACTGCAAATACTGGTCTGTGTGGGTGGGTTTGCGGTACACCTCAGTTTGCAAATGTCCTCTATCAGAGACTGAGACCTCACAGTCCAAGAAAGCCAACCTGCCATTTTTTACATCTTCTCGTGTGAACTTGATGTCATTTATCCACAGAGTTGATGTGGTCAGTAAAATGTTGGACTTCCTGAGATTTAATTTGAACCCAGGTGTCATCAACATACCTGAACCAATGACTTGGTGGTGTCCCTGAAAAGGACGTCAAGGCTCTCTTTAAATAATTAAATTAATTAATTAAATTAAATCTCAGGAAAGAAAACTTTATTACTCCTCGATGCAACTACATACCAAAATAGAAGTTGGTACTTCAATTTTTTTTCAAGTTACCCTCCTCACAACATGTACACAGATGGACGGAGGGTATTTCAAACTCCTCCTCCCCCCCCCCCCCCACCCACCCAAAAAAAAAACCCAACAAAACACCTACCCGCTCTAAATCCTGCCGCAGGTGCATGAACATCCTCATGCGTGTGTGGATGCTGTCCTCCTGAGGCTGCAGCACCAGGTTCTCCTCCTCTTTGGGGGGCAGCAGCTCTTTGTTGAAGCTGGACTTCCTCTTCAGTTTCCAGTACTGGTACATGAAGTCTACCAGGTGCTCAGAAAGCCCAAGGTCCCGTGCCAGCTCCCCAAGACGGATCAGAGTGTAGAATCCCTCCTCCAACTCCTGCAGTCTCTGTGCTCTTTGACCCACTTTACCGGCTTCTCCAGGGGTTTTCGAGCGAGCTGGGCTCAGACCAGCCTCCCCAGGTTTGGGCTTGCTGTGTTTGAGGCAGTAAGATTTGAACTTCACTTCATCCCCTTCGTCCAGAATGGTCTTCATCTCCAGGCAGTGCTCAAAGGCACACGTCACATGAAAAGGAATGGTGCAGTTCTTCACTGAACACTGTGAGAACAGTGGACACACACACTGCAGTCACACAATCTAGAACAACATCAGTAACTGGAATGACTTTATTTGTACTACTTTCAATTACTGAATCTGTCAGTGTACATGGACTCACCTGGATACACGCCCCTGTTTTTAGTTTACACAGACTGCAGATGAGAGACCAGCGACTGGGAGGGATGTGGGAGACTTTAGTGATAGGCTCCATTCGCTCAGGACAAGCGATGCTCACCTAAACAACATAAAATAAAATAAAGTGCTATATGTTGTCATCATTGCAAGTTTCCATATAATGGTGAAATGGACTCTCTGCATTTAACCCATCGCACCTGGGATACACTCAGGTGGAACAGTGGGTAGCTATTGGAAGCACGCATCATCAACAGTCATTCACTGCAGAATAAGTTATAATTTTATTATTTTTTTATTAACCTTTATTTAACCAGGCGAATCCCATTGAGATCACAGATCTCTTTTGCAAGGGAGGCCTGGGCCTGAAGCAGACCAACATGCATGTTTTTGATCTGTGGGAGGAAACCGGAGTACCCGGAGATAACCAAAGTAGGCACGAGAAGAACATGCAAACTCCACATAGAAAGACCCTAGGTCCAACCGGGGAATGAACCCAGGACCTTCTTGCTGTGAGGGAACAGTGCTAACCACTGAGCCATCGTGCTGCCAATCTATAAGTCAATGAACTGCAATGCAGACATGACAATTATGAATCAGTTTGAAATGTCAACAAATTATTGTTTCCTAACAATATTTATAATTAACATCATTTTGGGGAAGAAAACACACTGAACTGTAAAGTATGGAAGAACAATATTGATGAAGACATGAAACGACTCCTGCATTGAGAGCCAGTGCTCTCAAATATTTTGGCTTCTAAGAGCCATACGTGTTGCCAGTTGAGGAAGCCACTACCTGTCACTACTAACCACATAGAGGGCTGTGGTAGCTCGGTGGTCTGTGGTTGGTCAGGAAGGACGTCCGGCGTAAAAACAATCATCAAGTCTTTGTGCGAGTTAGCTCGCTGTGGTGACCCCTGAAGAAGGGAGCAGCCGAAAGAAGAAAAATGTTTGTAGTTTTTGTGGAGTTTTTTTTCCTGGACTGGCATTGAACAGGGAATGTAATGCCCCTTTTCCATTACTTAGAACCTGTTACTATTTTTAGGACCCTTGGCTCTGTGGTTCTAACCCGAACGAGTAGGTACTAAAACGTGACGTCAGAACACTGTTGGTCGCTGATTGGTCGGGGGCGGAGCTGGGGGCGGAGTCAATGGATCCTTCAGAAACTTAAAAAAAAAAAAAAGATCCGCCATTTGCAATTTCTCAGACCGGAGCAGCAGCTGGACCTATTTTAAAGATTTTAAAAACAATAAAGACAACATCTTGGTCTAATGCTGAAGTGCTGACGTTTTTTATGCTTGGTGGCCGACAACAAAGATCATAGCGAGCAGGATGGAGCTCTGCTGGTCACCATGAAGCTGGAGCTGGTGACTCGCAGAAGGCCATTGACAGACCCCGGCCTCGCGTAATCATGAAGTCTGAATCCCGATCCCTCCCGGCAGTCAGGCAGACTGGACGGTCTGGGACTGACGGTGGAAGCGATTTTTAAATGAAGTAATATTTTGTTTTCATACATAATTTTTTTTTTTTTTTAAATCGCTTCCACCGTTCGTCCCAGACCCGTCTCTGTCCGCCTGTCTGTGCGGGTCGGGGTTGGACCTTCTTGATTACGCGAGGCTGGGGTCTGACGACGGCCTTCTGCGAGTCACCAGCTGAGCTCGGAGCTGGGAAGATGACGCCTGCCTGTCCTGGCTCTGGAGGAGATGATCGTGTGAGCGGTCATAAAAAAAAATTATATTTTTTGTGTTGAAGATTAAAAAAAAATAGTAAAATAAACGGTGCCGGCTTTATCATAAAATCCTGTTTTCACTTTAATTAAAGTAAACTCAGCTGAAAATCATAAAAAGACACAAAATTATTGGATCTCTCAGGAATATTTCCCTCAACCATGTTTGAAGAAGAGAGACGGCCTTTAGTTCAACTTTATTCTAACCCACTTCAATTCCGGCGAGTTGATGGGACAGCAGCTCCCTCTGGCTTCTCTGCAGTCTTTTGCCATCAAACTGACCCGTTTTTCGAACAGGACTTAAGTTAGTCCCCTTCCAACCGAATTCGGTGTTCAGTAACTCGGAGAGCCGGACGGGACCGTCCAAAAATATATTTTGGTCCAGGACCGGCCGCTCCCACCCCACCGGTAACTCTGAGCGTACCCTGCCAGCCAGTTGACCCCTCGAGCTGGGGAGTCGCACGAAGGTCCGGTGTTTTTTCTCTCTCTTTCTGGAACCCAACAAAAACAAACTTCTCAACAAACTTCTCATCTGGACCTTTGTGGTTCTACCTGGTTCCGACAAGAATTGCCAGGTGGTATTTCGCTGGTTTTCCGCTGGTTTTCTGCTGGACTGGCCCTCGTGGTGTCTTCATTGGAGTGGGGGAAGTGTACCTGTGTCCCATGAACTGGAACCGAACCGAGGAGGCTGTGGGGGACTTCGTCTTCAACAGAGCCAGTCTCAGCTTCAGTGAGCAGCCCGTTACTTTTAACGAAAGACGGTCCACCTCCGTGGAATCGCTGTGTTCGCCTGGAGGAGACACTCATATGCTTTGAAGCACCGCCGGAACGGGGCTGGAACAGAACCGGGCCAGGGACAACTTGAGCCTCTTTGTCTCTCGAGCTGAGGAGCGCCAGAGCCGGACTGGAGCGGAACCGGACCAGACCAGTGAGGACTTCAGCCTCTCCGGTCAGTCTCATAGTTTTCACCGGGGGTGCCTCTCGTGCCGTCGGATGCGGAGGTGACGTGCAGAGAAGCGGAGGAGCAGCGCTGCGTGGTGCTCAAGAAAAGTTTGGAGTTTGTATCGGAGTTGCTGCAGGCCTCCATCCAAACTCACCTGGATAATAATTATTTTTATTCCGGATCACGCTGTTGGCCCCTGTTGGCCTGAAACGAGCTAGGACCATGCCTTTCATTTCAGGAGGGTTTTCTGGAAGCTCGCTCTGCCGTTTGCTGCAAATTATCTGTTTCTGCCTGTTGGTTCTGGACCCAGCTTCTGTTTCTCATGGGAGCATCCATCCATCTTCACAGGGGGCCAGAGCCCCCCTCAGCCCAACTCAAACAGCAGTTGGGCCACCTCGTCGGATTTGTTTGCCGATTTGATTTGTGACGTTTTATGATCTGAGACTTTTCTGCACCATTCATATTATTGTCATTATTTTCAGCTCTCAGATTATCTGGAGTCAATGAATCTTGTTAATACACCTGAATCTGCCCATCACTGCAACTTTCACTGTTTTGGGTTATGAATGATCGCGTTTTCATTAATGTTTCTCATGGTTTGATTATGGGGGCTAATTGTCACACTGTTAACTCCTATAATTACACATCAGTCACAAAAAACTCAAGAAAATGTCTGATAATAATGTTGTTACTGCTCTCAGGGATTCAACCCAACCCTGGACCCCCCCACTAATTACAGCACACCAAATGACTTTAAGAACGTGTCAGGGCTTTATTTTCTGCATGTAAACACTCATAGCCTTCTGAGAAAACTGGATGCTTTGACAATTCTGGTCAGTTCTTCTGGGACAGATGTAATCTTTATCTCTGAAACCTGGCTCAACAAATCTGTACTCAATAATGACCTGGTAATCAATGGATTTAACATCTACCGCTGTGATCGTCAAAAAAAGGAGGGGGGGGGGGGTGTCGCTGTTTACATCAGAGATTCTCTGGTTTCTAGTCTTGCGTCTTCTAAAACAATTCCAAACCAGTTTGAGGACTTAACTGTAAACATCACTTTGAATGGAGGCCAGATTTTATCTGTAGTGGGTTGTTATCGTCCCCCCTCAGCAACACCTGAGGCTCTGTCCTCCCTGATGAAATTCCTTGGAAATTAAAAATTCAAAGAGATCTTTTTGGCTGGAGACCTCAACATTGATTGGGATAAGTCGACCGCCCTCTGTGATAAATTCAAGGAATGTTGCCTGTCTCTCAATCTTACCCAATTGATCAACTCTCCGACTAGATTAAACAAAAACTGTCCTGAAAAATCTTCCATCTTAGACATGTTTCTAACAAATATGCCTCACAAATTCACTGTTACAGGTGTATTCGCCAACATTTTGAGTGATCACTGTGTGACGGCGACTCGGAGATATTAAACTTCCACCTTCTAAGCCCTGAATAATTCAAAAAAGGGATCTGAAACGTTTTTGTGAACAGTCATTCCTCTGGGATCTGTCTCACTTTGACTGGCATCGTATTCTATTAATTGATGACGTGAACTCCACTTGGAACTATTTTCGCAAAATAAATTAAACTATTATGAAAAAACATGCACCTTTTCGTCAGTTCAGAATAAAGGGACGAGACAGCCCCTGGTTTGCTCCTGAGCTAGCTGACCTCCTGCACAGGAGAGATCATCTTTGGGCCACAGCGAGAAAATCTGACTCAGACACTGATTGGTTGAGTTTTCGACAGATGAGGAATAAATTCACAACTGCTGTCAAAGCTGCAAAACGCAACTATTTCTTATCTCAGACCTCCAAAAATCTAAATGACCCTAACAGATTCTGGAAAACCATCAAATCGCTCTCAGGCAGCCCCCAATCATCTGACCTCCCATCACAACTTCTCGTTAACTCTGTTCCTGTGTCAAACCAGCACGAGATCCTGAACTGTCTCAACAAACATTTTGTTGCTTCTAGTTCTTTATTTGACACAGTTACTAATGGAAAATCAGCCACTTCACTTAATAACCAAACTTCTACAAATCAAATCCCTCCTACAAGTCAATCCTCAGTTAATCACAGCTTCTCTTTTTCTCCATTCTCAGTCAGTGAGGTCAATAAACTGTTAAAAGATCTTGATCCTAAAAAATCTGCAGGTCCAGATGAACTTCCACCTTATTTCTTAAGGCTGGCTGCTCATATCATCACAGTCCCTGTGACCCACATCTTCAATCTCTCCATGAGACAAAACTCCATCCCAGACACTTGGAAAACAGCCTTTGTTCTTCCTTTGCTGAAGGGAGGAGACCCCACCTCACTGAACAACTATCGACCAATCTCTAAACTCTGCATTTTAGCCAAGGTTCTAGAAAAACTGATAAACTCTCAAATCAAAAATTACCTGGACTCATTTAACATCTTACCTCCACATCAATCTGG